CATCTCTATATCTCTTCCTCTTTCCATCTCTTCTCTCTCTCTCTCTCTCTCTCTCTCTCTCTCTCTCTCTCTCTCTCTCTCTCTCTCTCTCTCTCCTCTCTCCCCACCAATGTAGCCCCTTTGCCTCGACCGTATGTTTACCACCAACCCATCGCCGGTCCTCCTCGCGGTCCCACGCTCGGACCAGTCCGCCGTGGACCGACCCGGCCGGGGTCCGGTTCTCGCTGGGGCCGGTTTGACCGGGGTGACGCCAGACGGCAGGTGCAAACGGCCGAGCTGCCGCTCCCGCTGCCGGCGGCTGTGGTGGCCGAGGAGGCGACCGAGGAGTAGTCCGGCCCACCCCGGCCGCAGTGCTGCTGCTGCTGACCTTCACGGCCGTCTCGACTACTGCTGCAGAGTGCCGGAGTTTGTTCAGAGGTCACTGGAGCCAGGAGGACTCCCGTAGACGGTAGGGGGGGGGGGAGCTGATGAGTGGGGGATGGACGGTACTGACGGGTGCGGTGGGGCGGATGGGACGGGCAGCTCAGCCGAACGGTGTTCAGATAAACCGGTTCGGTTTCGTTGGTGCTCTGCACTGCTCGGCGGCCGGTCGGCGGTGGGTGGCCCCTCGTCCGGCTCTGCTCCTTGTCCTCGGCCGGCGGAGCAGACCGTATCAACGCTCCGATCAGGCAGTGCCATCGGCCGGCCGGTCGGCGGCGGACCATCTCAGACCTCCCGGCCGGCGCGGCGACCGGCTCCGATTCACCACATCACATTCCAAACGGCACTTCATGGATATCATCGGCCACTAAAGCGGGCCGTTGCGGATGTAATAACCCGGCGTTCGGGGGAGCGCGGCGGCGCCGACTGCTCCCGGGCCGGCCGGGGAAGTTGTGCCGCAGCTCGTAAACTCTGATTATCGCGGCGGCTCGACCTCCGGTAATTACACGGAGAATAGATGTCCCGCAATAAAAACCGCATGTATGCCGGTGGCGCTTTTTGTACGCAGCGGCGAGACAAGAAGAGGAGGGCAGTTTTTGTGTGCGGACCGCCGCGCCGTCTGGTCATCCCGATGACACCTGACACAGCAGCCGCTGACACCTGACTCGGACGGTGCTGACATCTGACACCGCGCCGGACCGCCGCTCGGCCTCCGTCCGCACCTCTCAGAGAGCACAATGACCACGCCACAAAAACAAGTGGTCCTATCTGTTCGCACTGTGACCGCCGCGTCCGGCGAGGTCGGCAGGTGACCGTGAAACTCCGCTCCTCTCTCCCTCCTCTCGCTCTGCCCGCCGGCCGCTAACGATCGCGGTCCGGTCCTCGGGCGGACATCATTCCGACCCAATCCGTCTCCCTGATTAATCCGGGCTCCGTACCACTAATGACCGGCCAGCGCGCCCATCGCCGTCACGTTTCCCGAGGCAGTGCGCGCGTCCGGCCATATTTGTCTTCGGTTGTGTCAGATCCGTTTATCCGCTTCAGATTTGGCTTCTTCCCGTCTCATTCTCCTTCCGTTTGGTCTCTCTCCGTTCAACATTTGTCCCGTCTCCTTCCCTCTCCAACTAGTCTCCATCCATTTGGTCTCCGTTCCGTCTCCGTTCCGCTCTGTTTCGTCTCCGTTTAATCGTCGTTCTGCCTTCTACTCGTAATTCCATCCCGCTCTGTATCCTCCATTTCGACTCTGTTTACTTCCACTCCGTCTTCTTCCCGTCAAAAGTAAATATCCGTGTCTGTCTGTCTGCAACCATCAACAAATATCCTGCATCATCTTTTACATCATTTTATATCGCCTCTTTAGTCACTACTTCGCCTCATTCTCACCTCCCTCGACTAATCGCCCTTTTCCCCGCCTCGCTCCGTTCCTCTCCCCTCCCACCTCCGTCCCGAGTCGATCTCATCTGCTCCCGTCTGGCTCCTTTTCCGTCCGACATCGCGTCGAGTCATTTATCCTGCGTGGCGCCGGGTCCTCTGGCATTGTTCGGTGGTTTGTTGTGTGGCACCGATGGCCGGGCGACGGTTAACACGACTAACGGGGCGTCCCACGCTTTTCACAGACCTTTGTCGCTCCTCTGTGGAAACGGACATTCGTTTAGGGGAGAAAACAATGATATCTAGGCCGGGATCTGAACAACAATTAGGTGATGCGGCTGATTGAAGATGGTCATACTTCGTCAGCGAGACGTGAAAAGAGAGAGGAGAGAGAGAGAGAGAAGAAAAGAGAGAGAGAGAGAGAGAGAGAGAGAGAGAGAGAGAGAGAGAGAGAGAGAGAGAGGAGAGAGAGGAGAGAGAGAGAGAGAGAGAGAGGGAGAGAGAGAGAGAGAGAGGAGAGAGAGAGAGAGGAGGAGGAGAGAGAGAGAGAGAGAGAGAGAGAGAGAGAGAGAGGAGAGAGAGAGAGAGAGATGAGGAGAGAGAGAGAGAGAGAGAGAGAGAGAGAGAGAGAAATAGCGAAATAGTAGTGCTAAGTAAAGGCAGTGGATTCGGTAGTGGAGATGCAGGAATAAGTTATTAGGTATGCCTAGACTGTGTTCACTATTATTCATGACAGATGCAGAACAGAACGGTATGAGAATGATTTTCAGAAGAGTGAATTGTGCCAATGTTGAGCCATCTGCATGAGCTTCTCAGTATGCCGCACAGCAATTGGCTGAAGAAAGCTGGCACAATCTGTGTATGATGACGAATAAATAGATAACGGGACTTTATTTCCATGGTTGTACGAACTTAGTTAGGCCATCTAAGCAGGCGTTGATCGTTACAATACCTTCTCTGCTACCACTTAACACATCACCTATGTATTACCACAACCACTAACCTTACATCGCTACCTTCAGTACTACTTTCAGCACCACGGCGTCCTTTCTTTGACGCTGCCCTTTAACTCCTCTACGACCGACCCCGGCGTGCTCAGTCATCCGTGCAAGAGCACGGTCACACCCGTCACCACCGGCGCCGGCCAGCACTGCGGCAGGTGCATGGGCTCCAACTGCAGCGCATATATCAGGGCCGCTGATTGCCCAGCGACCGGCTCACCGGCCAAGGTATATATTTTGTCAGCCGCAGCGCCGCAGAGCCACATTCCAGACACCCACACGACTGGCGATGGGCTGCTGACCAAAGTGCACTTTGCAACAGAGGCAGTGCCAGAGCGAAACCTTAATAATGTAGCGTAATGATTATAGAGCGCTACACGATTGCTAAATTGCATTAGTGAGCCCTACACGGTCGCATACATGGTGTTCACTGACAAATGAAATATTTGTTATATAAATACAATTTTCTAAATCGCATGCAAAATTAAAATGCAGTTGGGTAGAGGAAACCCAGTAACGTATTTAATATGCAGGTCCTTCCAAAATGTTCTGAATTAAGTTACAAAAATGTAAGCATGGTTTAGAAACTTTTGACTTTGAAGTTATAACTATGTCTCGGGACTTGTTATAAAAGATCACCTTTAAGCCCTTCGGAAACGTCTACAAGTCTGTTTCAGTCCATTCCGGATTTTGGGCCTCTATCGACCAGGGCTGCTCGACACCGACCGTAAGTACAGGTGACTTTAATTGCTGCAGATCGGCCGGGAACCGTAAACCCGGGCCAATTGGTCGATCTGCGGCTATGAGCAGCGTCTGGCGGTAACCGGCGGTCGTCTAAATCACGGCGGAAAGGTCAAACCCAATTGTGCAGTTTCACTTTACAAGAGTCGTGGCGCCAATACTAAGAGACCCGTCTCGAATCGAAGTCGCCTCGATCATGCTAAAACCGTTCTTTGAAGAACAGAAGATCGCACATTTCAGAACAACTGAACCTTGGTTTGAAATTTACGAAAAAGAACTGAACAAACGCGACAGCGTGATTGTGCTACGGTCCACCATGGCCTCTGACGTTTCGATTACAATATAAAAAGAATGAAACGGACTTGAAGTGAGCAACCATATACTCGTATCTCTAAAAAGCTGTGCTCAATTTGCACCTGCCTTGTTTCACTTCCGTTGACAGCACAGGCGATTAAATCACCCTGCAAACCGTTATAATTTCATGTATCGCGACCGCCATGTCATCTTTGGCGTCTTTAGTCTACCCTGATAAATACTAGAGCAGTGACAAGCGCAGTCAAGTCAGAGCTAATCCCTCCAGCACGAGCGGACGCGCTGCTCCGAGAACCACACTGCTCCAGCGTCGCCACCGCCGCCGCCGCCGCGGGCTCAATCTCAGCTGCTGATGTCTGTCAGATTCGGACGGCATTTACGGCTCATTCTTTTTGCCGAGACATCAGTGCGACTCAACAGGTCCTGGTCCGGTCGGCCAGGCTACGGTCCAGCGAGCAGCACGAGCCGCACGCGAAGCGCTCCCTGACGGAGACGGGCCGAGGAAAATAAGCGCACTTGCTGGTAGCAGTGTCCGGTTGGACTTTGTAATGTGACAGCGGCCGGAGAGAACACGCGATGTATTCAGTGGACAGTGAGCACGAGCTGACATAAAATTATCCAGTCAGTTCCTAGAACCAGTGGTGTTGCATGCTAGAATACGAAAGGACCAGTCATTGCATGTCGATCGATATAAGGCTGAATTTCGTAGACATCATTTATCTACTCCTGAATCGATTGTGTGTCATTTAGTGAGTGAGGCTCTTCAATGATGGATTGTCCTGATTGTGTATGGCAGGTAAGTTCGTCCGGAGTGCATATTTGGATCGGTCTGTGTGTTGTCCTGATTAGAAGCGATTTGTCATCTGTTAACTGAATCCAGCAAAATGAAATTGTGATTCATTCACAATCTATTCCCAAAACCAGATGCAAGTGGCTTATATTGCAAGTTAGTCAGCAACCGTTTTTATATGAGGCATTACAAATGTGATTGGTTCTTATGAATTTCACAAAGAAATCAAAGTTTTACCCATAAGGTTTGAGGAGAGTCCGACATTCCCTTACTACGAATTGATTGCTGGACTTCAGATCTTCCAAGTTCTTGATAAAAGGTCCATGGTCTTATTCAGGCGCTAGGGATTTCCAAACCACACCCCATTCACAGGTCATAGCATCTTTATTTACAAATTATCACAGTCGCAATACATCGAACTAGAGTAGAAAACATCGACACAGTGACAAAACACTTCACCATTGCTCCATGTGATGATTCGCGCAGTTGACCACCTAAAACATAGTCATATACACACACGTAATGTCCGCGCACTACATATCCGTATCTTTCTTTGTCCACTCTCAACAAAAACGAACAAAGCACGCACACTCTCGCAAAGTTCGGCACGTCACTAACAACTCTGGCAGTTCTGTTCGGCACTCTAAGCCGCTTCATCTGCGCGGCACCCCTCTTTGGCACACACCGTTCTTCGGGGGAAGGTGAGGGCGCCCGCCAGTGCCGGTCGGCCGCGCCCGGACGCCCCTGCGCCCCCGGCGCCCGCGGGGCGCCGGCCGTGCCCCGGAGCTACACGAGCCAGCGGCCGGGCCGGCCGGGCGAGGGTCACACGTGGGTGGCTAGTGTGCCGGGCTTTAGCTGACTGTCCACCACGTACTGGCCGGCCGCCGCACCGTACTCGCCGTAGCCGCCGTAGCGGCCGTAGTCGCTCAGCGCGGACGTGGTCGGGGCGTACTCGGCCGGCGTGCTCGGCGAGCTCGTGTAGAACGCCCTCAGCCCGCCACTGGGCGGTCGGACGTAGCCGTGCTGGTCGTAGCACGGGTACGCCGCCACGCCTCCGCCGCTGGTGACCGGGGACGGGGCCTCCTGCGGAACGACAGGAGGGGGTGTTAGCAACACAACGTATCCTTTCATCTCTGTGATCGGAGTGTTCACTTTGTCCACAACTTGAAATCTTTTGTAAGCATAATTATGAGCAAAAACCCAGCAGCTTGTATTGGCTGGACGCTACGACTCATACTCTAGGGTAGGATACCACAAACAAATCAGCGTTTCATTCAAACAGTGACTAATAGATTGTTTGTGAAAACAAGTGTTCAGTCCACGGGGACAGCGGGTACGTTTCGCTGTTCGCAGCACCCCTTCATTTGCAAGGTCATCGATCGGATCGCCGAGGTCGGGCGCGTCGCCTGTTTGTCTGCGCCTGTACAAATACGCAACACTCGACAAAATTAGAGGTGCGTGCCGGCTGCTCATTAAGCGGCAGGCATGTTTCCCAGGTATCGGCCTGTTTTCGTGACTGCTGCGTAATGGACCGCGCTGCGTAAACGCACGCGCGTAAAAAATACCATTAAAGTCGCCGAACATTGTTCGTCGAGAACGCAAAACTACTCAGTACACGCAAGTCACAAAAATCAGAGTCGGCTCTGCATTAAACAGAGTTGCAGAGAGGGTGATTTGCAGTGGCCCGGGCGGCCTCGGTACTGAATCATCTCGACTGGCCTGCGGGGATGAAGGTGCAACCTCCATTCTCCCACGACTATTCATCATAATCTGGTTCTCTGTGCAGCCTCTATTCGAGCTAGCGTTCTTTCTTTCATTTAGTTAATGTCTGAAGGTAATCAGATGTCACCTGCAATGAGTTTCATACCGGAATCCTGAGACCACACGCGAAAAAAGCGACGGCTCTTTGAAAAGACAACGAAAGTCGAATTCGGAATTTTGCATTACACTTTTTCACGACGACAAATGACTTCATGACAAAATTCTGATATATCTGTCCATAGACCTCTCTATACCGAGGTCTACGAGTGTCTATACAAAGTTCTATGAACTGTCGCTACCCTTTCTGTGTTAAAAGAAGTCCCATCCCGTATCCCTGCAGCAACTGACCTTGACAAATGGCGGGAAGCCGTTGTCGGCGGGCGCCTCCTCGCCCACTCCCGCCATGCGCACGTGCGAGGGCGGCGGCTCGTGCGCGCCATCCCACCGATCAGTGATCACGTGACCCGAGCCGGACGAGGTGGTGCGGATCTCCACCTTGAGGTCCGAGCCGGACGAGTTGGGCTCCGAGTCCCGGCCCAGCTTGTCCCGGGCCACCTCTTCTGTGGAGCGAGGGAGATGGTGGTGAAAGGGCTGACCTGACCTGGCATGGCATGGAAAGGGTTTGGTGAATATTGGGTAATCGATATGGAAGATGTTGGATCATGTGGTATACACCAGGACCAAGCATTCGGGTAATGGTTTGATCGAAACGGTACATTTTTACACAGCTTAGAGCTTTTGAACTACAAAGTTACACTTGTTTACATCGCACTTGTTTATGGAGGTTGGAGAGCGAATAAGTAAAATCCGTAGACGCTATCTATGAAAGCAGTGTTTGGGGGAAGAGCACAAACAACCCAAACCTATCCTGTTTTTTCCTCAAAGTATCAGCATCAGACCACTCAAGATATCTTTATAGGCTCAAGCCCACATATCAGCAACAAAATATGGCTCGATGAGGGGCACTTCATGGGTGCTCTCCCGGCCTAAAGTAGTGTCCTACGAAGTCGGGACATTTCTCAGGCCCTGTCCAAAGCGACCGGCTCTTGAGGTTCGTCGCTGTCCGGACCATTTCTCTCCGATATGACTTTTCGTCCAAATAGACGCAGACACAGGAAAACCGTACTCACTACAGACGGCTTATCATATGACTTAAATCTATTTTCTAGTCTTTATTGACATTTGTCGACTTTTGTTCTGGTAAAGCTGGCATATCATCTTTAACTATTATCTGAAGTGATTATCTGAAATGATTTATCTGAAGAGTTTTCTTCCTTCCTTTCTCCCTCCCTTTTCCTCTCATTATCCACTTCCTCTCTCCCCCACTCGCTACCTTCTTTTTCCTCACTTCCCATCTTTCCCACTCCCCTTCCCCTCTCTCTCTCTCTCTCTCTCTCTCTCTCTCTCTCTCTCTCTCTCTCTCTCTCTCTCTCTCTCTCTCTCTCTCTCTCTCTCTCTCTCTCTCTCTCTCGCTCACCTGCAGTGGGCTTCTCCTTGGCCCGCCGATGATGACGCTGACACATGATGACGACGAGAATGACGGCCGTCAGCACCACGATGCCGCCGATGACGATAATTAGGATGATGAGCAGAGGCAGCGCTCCTGAGGAGAAACGCGGTGCTGTCAGCCTCAGGTATGGCTAGCCTCGTCGTCGATACAGGCGTAATACCTGCATGCATCGATACAGTTGATGCGTCGTAACAGGCAACAAAAGAAACAGGACCAGGGGATAGAGTCAGCTGATGGAGTTTAGCCTTTCACTTCTTTCATATCAAAGTAGATATTCTGATTTTCTATGATTCATTTCATGATTGCGATGGACAATACCAAAGAAAGGCTATTGGCTTAGTTCGTGATGGTGGATGGGTAAAAACGATGCCGTATTATCTTTGGCAGTCGAGAAGATTGAGCTGTAGATTGTTGGCAGCAATGAAACTGGTATGCCTTGTCAGATAAGACAAAATGTCACGACACCGGCTTATTGCAGGATGTCTTTCACGGCCCCGTACCATTGACGTAAATCTGATTTTATTCAGTCTTCCTCCCTGTCAGTCAGGGGCAAATATGCTAGCTCGTCGCGCACACAAAGCCACCCAACTTCCATATTGAACACACAAACAGCCCCGCTGTCACCCTACTCAAACACTCCAACTCCCTACCCTTCCACGAGTCAGACGTCAGCTTGCATCGCTGCTGTCCTGCGTCGCGCGCACCCGTGGGTTCGGGGTCGTCATGAAAGCCCATTTCAGCCTACAGCTGGGTACAGGTGGAGAAACCCAGGGGCGAGTCGCCTCGACAGGCGGAGATGGAATCTACAAATAGAGTCTCAGGCCCATCGCCATCGGGAAGTGGCACTGTCAAGCGTCATTTAGATTTTAGACACCATCAGGAACCGAGACACCATATATACCAAGCACCAAAGCATCGGACGCGTACACGGGTTCACGCCACGACCTCTCGCACACGTGGCACTGACGGCGCGTGTTCGGCTCGCGCCACGTGAACGGCACGGGTGGCCACCCGGGGCGTCAGCGTAGAAGGAATGCTGTTAATGGATCTGTCCGTCCCGGCCCATGGCGTCAGTGAGGGAGTGTCACCAGCAGACGGGGAGGCGATGGGGCGCGAGGCGCACGGCGCCGGTGGTGGCGTAATAGGGAACAACAGGCGGAAATCGGCTCCTGGGAGAGACGCCCGGTGGATAAGCTACGCTGCCGCTAATATCGGGGAAAAGTCAGGGATCGCAGTCCAGTCCACAGATATGAACGCGAGGACAAGAGAATTTAGACTGTGTTACTTTTGAGTTTTGACTTAACTTCCTCCGTTCCTAGAAAAGCGGAACCTATAGCGCGAATTGGAATTTCGAAATTTCTGTTCACGCATTTAGCTTATCAATGTCGATGCAATTCAATGTTTGTTTGTTTTTGTTTTTCACTGAGCATACAGGTACAAACCCGTGCCTTTCCTTAAAATAACTAGGTACATTCAACTTGGCCTTTCTCATCCAGCTGCAACCACTTCCTCCGCTTGCGTTTCTGTGCAGCATCTTCATTTCTCTCCCCTTTCTTGCGACACGGGACGCGTCGCCGGAGTGGTTAGTTTTGTTTCCACCCCAGGCGCCGTCACGTGCCCGCGAGACGGTGCTCTTTTATTTCCGGGCTGGGCCTAATCTGACTGGGTAGGTGACGCTAATGGTACGATCTGACTGATGTCTGGCGATAAATAAACCGGCAGCAAACAAACAAACCGGACCGGCCGCCCCCGGGAAGGAACTCTCTGTCGGGAGGGAGAGACCCAGGAGGGCGGTATGGAGCCGGGAAGGCCTGACGTGAGGGGAGGAAGGGTGAATAAAATCACCGCTGGATCCTAATCGGTGAATAAATTGAGTGAAAGGGAAACAACCAGGGGTGCGGAGCCGGAGCCGGAGCCGCCGAAGCCGACATATTTCGTCCGGAGCCGGAGCCGGAGCCGTGAAACAATAAAGCCCAGAGCCGGAGCCGGAGCCGGAGCCGTCAGAAAAGGCGGCGACTCCGGCTCCTTTTTTTAAGAGGAAAAAAATTATTGACCTAGTTCGGTTTGACAGTACAAGGCAGTAAAACATTTGGTATTCAAAATAGCCTTGTTATGCAAGTAGGTACAGAAGCAACGTTAACCAATACCTACATTCGTCTTTTTTCTTCCAGCCGTATTTAATTGTATAGAGGATGTACTGAGTACAGGAGCCGGAGCCGGAGCCGGAGCCGCCAGAGCCGGACCATTTTACTCGGAGCCGGAGCCGGAGCCGTCTGAAATTTCCACGGCTCCTCATCCCTGGAGGCTGGAAACAACATAAGCTTGCCAGGGAAAACAGATTGTTACGCAAAATATTATGTTGCATCTCAAATGACAACACTAAAAAATGTTCGAAGAAATGTGCTTACGAGAGCCCGCTAAGAGGACATCGTTTTCTTTTGCGCTTCTCAGCATAATTCGTTCAAATGGTCCATGTCAGTGAAATAGGAAAGCAGTATCCTGGTCTACAACTGAGATTCGATCGTTGCTGTCCAGGCAGAGGGGAAGCGGGGAGTTGTGGGTAGAGTGCGGAGCAGAACCAGTCGGAGCCAAAACTACCACAGAGCAGGCTGGATTCCGGAGACTCGCCGCCCGTGCCAGTGGTCGTCCTAGGCCCAGCCTGGCTTCATTTCTCGCTTCTAACAGCGCACGCCATTCAATAAACGTGCTTTGATGTCCCCCACAGCAAACTCAATAACGAGAAATATAGTCTACAAAACGCACATAAAAGGTAGCGGAGCGGGCGGGCGTGTCCAAAGTGGGCCCTCCCGCTGTGCCCCAGCGAATATATGTCGGCCCACATTGCGCTGCCAGATGGGTTGCCAGATCGGCGAACAGCCGCCAGATAGCCTCAGGCGGGTACCATGAGGAAAGGGAAAATGCAGTCACGAGACATGGTGGGTGATTGAGACCGATTGTGGGTTACTATCTGGATGATTCCGTGGCGAGAGAAAATGTAAGATTTAACTTCTATGAAAGTCCAAAAATACGTAAAAATGGCGAAACAACTTTAGGAGAAAACTTATTGGCACCGTCACACAGCAAGCGATTGGCAAAATTCCACTAAAAAGCAGTTATTATCTGGTTCAGCCATCTGAGCAGCACACCTACCCAGGCTCCCATCACCCTTACACCAAGCCCTATTCCTCAACTTCACTCCTCCAAGAACAGCGTCCGCTTGTATGTAACGCCCCGACACCTTCGGACACCCAACACCGTCACCAAACGGGCGATCGATGCCGCAGTCCGCACCAAACTGGCGGCGCTCGACCAGCATTCGAGGAAGCCGTGGAGAGACTGCTCGCTGAGTGCTCGACGGTGCCCCGTTCCCGCTCAGAATCGGCCGGGGGCTCCGCGGTGACCGGTGTGGCGCTGAACAAGCCATGTAGGCTGGAGAGGGTGAACTGTGTTGCAAGAGTGATAAAGAGGGTTCTAGCCGCGCCCGACAAGTTTTGGAGAGGGCTGGACAGGTTCTGGAGGGCTTCACAAGGTTCGGACCGACCAAGATTCAAGCTGAAAGTGAATTGGGGCCTAGTCGTAGGTCCACAAAACTTGGCGGGCGAAGTGTGGGTCGGCTGTCTCGTCCAGTCATGGGTTTCGATATCTTAGGGGCCAACAGCGCCTGAAGTATATCCATGCATATCACCAATCAATACTCATATTTGCAATCCACTGACACCAATTGGCTGTATTCTGTCAAGAGCCCAAATACCTCCTCCATCACAACCGTCGCCATACGCACACGCACCGGCGCGGCGGGGGCCCCAGCGGTGGGTCTTTTTCACGGGACCAGGCGTGGCCATTGATTCGGCGGCTCGTGCGCCGCGCCCCCGCCGACGGCCGCTCCGCTCCGGCGACGCTGAATACACTGAGCCCGTTATTAATCGGCGATCAAACACGGGCCACGTCCAATAGGGGGACGGTGTGGGACACCGACGCTGTGCCTCCGTCCGTCCGCGAGCTCTGCCTGTCAGCTCGGCGGCCCGTGTCGGGATCGGATGGTGAACTTCGAGGGACGGAGTCAGAGCTTCAATTGGCTCCAATATTCACTCGTGTGGAGATCAGGGGCCGAAACAAACGAGTCATTGCCGCGAAGAACGAGTCCTGTGTGCTCGAAGTAGTCGCATCATTCGCTCTCCGACGCCCAGAGCGGAAGGAACGGTCGTGTAATCCGAGGTGAGACGGCTCTGCGCCCGACTCAGCGCCGAAAAAACACCTCGAGGAAGGTGCGCACGACGATAAAATGTTTACAGCGACACGAAC